CATTGGGTGAAGCGGTAGAACTGTTAAGGACTATGGAGCTATTTAAAGTTGGACTGAATGCATTTCACAGTATAAGTCGGTCGTGTGCCTGTGGAGACAAGGATATATGATTTATAAGTGATGTGCTTGGGGGTCAAGTTGACAAGAGGTGGAGTTATGATGGTTAGTGTTGTCAGTTTGATATAGTCCAGCATTACTTGGCAGACAAACTTTTGACCATGTGAATGGCAGATTATCTAGACTGACAAATTGAGGTAGTGAAAACTGTAAAAGTGGCATCAACATTTCCTAGGTTTGGGGTCCTGCCCTGAACATATGGAGAAAGCAACCCTAGAGCATGTGTTTGTCCCTCTCTGCCTCCAGCTGTGAGTGTGATGCGACCAGCCTCCCCAGGCTCCTGCCCCAGTCACTTCGCTGCTGTGTCGGACCTAACTTTGAACTATGGACCAAACTCTCCCTTGAGTTGCTTTGTCACAATATTTTCTCCCAACAACTAGAGAAGAAACTAAGAGTGTATTGTGCCTATCTCCTGTTGTACCTTTTATCAAACAGGTGACCCTTTATAGTGCTAAGATTTTCTATTTTCGCTCATCGGGGTTTCCACTCCTTGGAGATTATTGCTGGTCAGTCAATTGAATGTTGATGTCCATGGAAAAGTACAGCAATAATTTCCCCCCTCTGGACTCTGTAGAGTTGTAAAGGTACAAACATTATCATAATAGACAACAAAATCTCATCTCCTTGAGAGGTCACGAGAACTCATCCTGTGTCTGAGTGGCAGTAACATTAAAGGGGAGTGTCCCATGTCAGGGGACACCTTAAAATTTAGCTGTGTCAGATGCCTGTATTTCCATCAACACTGTATGTCCAGGTCTTTCTCACCTTCCAGTTGTAGTTTTACTAATTTCTGCTTCTCTTTTTCACTAACTGTGAAATATATGTTCTGTCAGTAAATAGTGGACAAGGAGTATGTGTAAGGGGGAGGTGCACTTCAAAAAGATAAAACTGACGGTGTCCCATTAGTGAGAAATTTGCTCAATCTTTATTTCTTTCCTCAAATGAGAGTAGTAGGTGTCTCTTCGTTCGGCAAATGATTTTAATCGGAACGTAATGGCTTAACTTTGGTAATGTTACCCGAGAAAACAATAGGGAAAATCTGTCTTCCACTGTGGATGAAGAAAACGAAAAGAATTTCCTCAAGAAAGTAGTTCCTATGTGTGAATTTAGTAAATCTTTTACTGTTGGATAAAAGTCATTGCAATGACTCCATTTTTTTTTTTTCCCAATGGTAATTCAAGCTGAGTGAGCTGTGGCACGTTCCTTATCCTTTAAATGTGAGGTCTTCAGCAGGCCTTTGGGAAGCCACTC